CTGGCAGAAACATAATTAGGAAACATTTTGGGTCACATCTTTTTAAATAGGAGTAGTAAGATAGATCATACACATTTGTCTACAGAAGCAGCTTCTTTTGTAGTTGGAAGTATTGTAAATCCTGTTTCATACAGGGAATTACACAATACAATGACTGTTACATTCAGCTCCAGATTGTTAAAGATACAGAGCATTTCATCTGTGACTGTATCACAAAAGCATAGACTATAATGCTAAATCCTCTTTGTATAAGCTCAAGGAACCAGGAGGGTAAGGAGTGACAAATGAACAAAAGTTATGCTATCTAGATACATTGTTCTTAAATGACCAAATTTAACAAAGATCAGAAAGTGGATATATTGAATAGGAATGGATGTGAGTCCACTTTAGCTAGGTACAAACCTCAGATGTCATCAAAACTCTTCTCTATGTAGCATGCCTAATCTGCTATTGAGCTCCAAATAAAGTTTGCATCCTCTATGCTAATATACATTTTCTTCTCTTGTATTATTTAACGTTATTACGTGGCTGTATGTTCTCTACACAACAGGTGCATTTTGGAAGATGGCTGATAGAAGGGAGTCCTTATGTGGTGCTCTTCGACATAGGCTATTCAGCTTGGAATCTGGACAGGTGGAAGGGTGACTTTTGGGAAGCATGCAATGTCGGCATCCCTTATAATGACCGAGAAGCCAACGATATGCTCATATTTGGATCTTTAACTGCCTGGTTCTTAAAAGAGGTACAGGTTACCATATAATAATAAGACAGAGGAGTGGCACAACTGCAGTCAGTACCTAGAAATAATCCCAGGAATTTAGATTAAGCAGATTTTGAGATAATGCCCTTCTTGATTGTCCTAATACATTTTAAAGGAATTATAATACATTCCAAGAAATTGTCCAGCATTCCTCAACTGAATTCCAACCTTTGGAACAGAGTAATAATAAAGTAATAATCATGCTTATTAATATGTATTCACATAAGACTTAAATGGAATTCCATGTATAAAATATGCAATTATGTAAACTGAGTAGATGAAACACAATAGATATGCAAGAAAAAAGAGGTGATTTTCATCATCCATTATATACATGAATTGTGAAATTTGGGGAGCAGCAGAGAATTTGAAATATTCTGTCTGGCTTATACATGAGTGCTTGGGCAACAGGAGTGACTTATAGGTATTCTTATTATTTCCAAAGGGCAAAAGTATTCTCATAAGCTATTTATGTCCTTTGAAGTAGAATAATCCATATATGTAAAAAAGAAAGAGATTTAGAAGTCAGCTTTTGTTAAACAAGTCAAGCTGGAACTCTCTTGACTCCTCAAAGCATGGCAGTAGGATTTCTTTGCATCCCTTTCATTACACCTAGCCAAAAAATCAGATGGTAAGGGAAGAGCATCCCTAGCAGTGGGAATAAAGTCTAAGGACAAAAACATCATAGAACTGAGTGTTGAGAAAGTGTTCCCCTTAATCTTTCCTTCTGATGAAGTCATGTCCCAATAGCTGTAGGAGGCTGCCTTCAATTGAAGGGGACTATGGACAGGTATTCCTTCTGCTTTATGCTGGGGACAGCATAGGAGAAGAAGGGGGAGGGTATTGGCAGTATCTGTCTAATGTAGACACTTGGTCCTGTTTTAGATCAGTTAGTGAACACAACTCTCTTTAGACTGCCTATCTGAGGACACAGCCCCAAGGCTGAGGTCAGCCACAAAATTGTGTGTGTGTGTTTACCATCATTCTTTCTGATAAGAGAAATGGAAGAGAGAGAGAGAGAGAGAGAGAGAGAGAGAGAGAGAGAGAGAGAGAGAGAGAG